AATGGCCACCACATTGATTCCCAAGACTCCCAGCTGCCTACCACAGAGATTCACCAGGGAGTCTGACAAGATGAGAACATTCCTAGCCCAGTGTAAAGTATTTATTGCCAGGGGAGTTTCCAACGGACAGGTCACAAGTTTCTTTCATCCTCAGCCTGTTAATTGACTCCACTGCCAGATAAGCACTTCTACTCATCAAACACAATGACCTCATCCTAGATAACTTCCAAAACTTCCTTGCCAGGTTTAGACAACACTGAGGAGACCCTATTCGTATGGAGACTGCAGATCACCACCTCCACCAGCTTCACCACAAGAACTTACATTGAAGAATTCAAACTCCTTGCCTCTGATTTAGATTGGAACGAGCCAGCCCTGATCTCACAGTTCAGAACCAGGCTGAACAGTAGCATTGTCAAAGAACTGATCAGACAAGGAATTCCCCGTACACTAGAGGGCATCTTCCTGGTCTCTGTAAAAGCTAAATCATGCCTTGCAGAAATCTGGGCACTCTCCAGCAGTCCCTACCATACACCCTCACAGCTGCCACCTCCCATCACCACCCTGAGCCTCCCAACCATTCCAGACTTGGAGGGTGAAGAGCCAATGAAAATTGGGACAGCCAGAAAAGCCCCAGCAGCCACAGGAGAACTGCTATCCTGTGCTTGACAGAAATATTTCTTTAAAAAAAAATTCCAAAAAGGCTTGCAGTCATTGAAGTCATCTGGCTCCAGTCTTTCTTTTAAATCTCTTTTTAGGGGCATTGTAGAAAGTATATAATATGTAATGTCCCAAGTCCTTAATTTATTGTTACTTATCCTTACAATAAGAATCCAGTATAAGTCAGATAAAATGACTTTCACTACAAAAAGAAAAAACTCTCATGCTGTCGGCTTCCTTATGGCAAAAGTGGTAGTATTTTTAACTCCAAAATAAAACAGTGAAAGTTCATATTGTAATCCAACAAGAGTGTGCAAAAACACATCAGTATTCAGCCAGGCTATTAACAATTAAAAGTGTAGATCAAAAATCAAAATGTGGTGTTAAAACAGGCACACCTAAAAATACAAACAACAACAGGAAAAGATGGAAACCCAACCACTCCAGCTGCTCTTCCTGAGAATTGCAATCCTCTGGATTCTCTTCCCAGGCAGGTACATAGATTTCTGAGGGTTGTGTGTTATTCCTAATTACTCCAATTCAAAACCCAGGGAGCGTGCTGCCAGAGAACTGATTACGGCAGCAAAGTCAGCTGTTTTTTGGCAGGGGAACACCCCCCACCCCCCCTCAGCACACCATTTTCTGGAGATGTCAGGATTTCATTTTTTTTTCAATTGATGTTTACAGCTTACATGTTATGTTAAAGGTGGAAAACATTCTGAAGTGATTTATCTTGGTCTGATTTTTTTAAATATCTCAAAAACTTAGCATTTTAACAGGGTTGTATAGACTTTTTATATCTACTGTACACTGTGTGCACAATTATTAGGCAAGTTGTATTTTTGAGGATTATTTTTTATTATTGAACAACTACAGTGCAAGAGTCAATCCAAACTGTTAAGAAACTGCAAACCTGCACATCTGCCCATCTCACTCATTTATTTGCATTTATTAAAGTGAGTATAATAAAGAAACACCTCACAATTTACAAATAAACATTTCTGACGTTTTAAAAAAAATCAGTGACCAATATTGCCACCCTTCTTTTCAATAACAGTCATAAGCCTTCCATTCATGGAGTCTGTCAGTTTCGTGATCTGTTGACGATCAACATTTTGTGCAGCAGTAACCATAGCCTCTCCCTGTTCAGAGAAGTATACTGTTTTTCTTCACCGTAAATCTCACATTTAAGAAGGGTCCACAAGTTCTCAATAGGGCTTAGGTCAGGTGAGGAAGGGGGCCATGTCATTATTCTTTCATCTTTAAAACCTTTACTGGCTAGCCACACAGTGGAGTACTTTGATGAATGCAACGGAGCATTTTCCTGCATAAAAATCATGGTCTTCTTGAAAGATGCAGACTTTTTCCTGTATTACTGCTTGAAGAAAGTGTTTTCTAAAAACTTGCAGTAGGTTTGGGAGTTGATTTTGAGTCCATCTTCAACCCGAAAAGCTCCAACTAGCTCATCTTTAATAATACCAGCCCATACCAGTACCCCAACTCCACCTTGCTGGTGTCTGAGTCGAAGTGGAGATCTGTACCTGTTACTGATCTAGCCACGGGCCCATCCATCTGGTCCATTGAGTCACTCTCATCAGTCCATAAAACCTTTGAAAAATCTGTCTTCAGATATTTCTTGGCTCAGTCTTGCCATTTCAACTTATGTGTCTTTTTCAGTGGTGGTTGGGTTTCAGCCTTCCTTACCTTGGCCATGTCTCTGAGTATTGAACATCTTGTACTTCTGGGCACTCCAGGTAGGTTGCAGTTCTGGAATATGACAGCACTGGAGGATAATCGATCCCTGGTAGCTTCACATTTGATTCTTCTNCTTCCTAACAGTGAGGACAATTAACCAGTGGAACAGCTTGCCATCAGAAGTTGTGGGTGCTTCATAACTGGAGGTTTTTAAGAAGAGACTGGACAGTCACTTGTCTGAAATGGTATATAGCAGTGATGGCGAACCTTTTTCTTATGACATGCCAAAATTGTGGCCGCGTGCACCATCGCGCGTCCACGTGTGCCCACACCAATTCACTCCTCCCTGCCCACCTGTGCATGTGTGCATGACCCACCCACATGCATGCCCACATGATCCCCCCCCCCAAGCTTTGGAGGCTTTCCTGAAGCCTGGGGAGGGTGAAAATGGCCTCCCCCAGCCCCCTGGAAGCAGGAAACGAATAGTTTCCGAGCCTCCGGCATTGGGGCTCTTTTTTTCCCTCCCCAGACTTCAGGAAACCCCAACAGGCCAACCAGAAGTTAGGAAACGATCCGTTTTCACCCTCCCCAAGCTTCAGGAGGCTTTCCTGAATCCTGGGGAAGGCGAAAAACGGCCCCAAAGAGCCAACCGGAAGCTCGTTCACGAAGTTCCAGTTGGCCCGTTGGGGCCGTTTTTCACCCTCCCCAGGCTTCAGGAAAGCCTCCGGAGGCTAGGGAGGGCGAAAAACAGTCCCAATGAGCCAACCTGAACTTGTCAAACTTGTGAAAAACCTTGTTGAAGGTTTTTCACCCTCCCCAGCCTCTGGAGGCTTTCCTGAAACCTGGGGAGGGCAAAAACAGCCTCCCCCGGCCCTCTGGAAGGCTGAAAATCAGTTGGCCAGCATGTGCATGCACACCGGAGCTGACGACCGGCATGCCAGCAAATATGGCTCTGCGTGCCACCTGTGGCATGCGTGCCAGACGTTTGCCATCACGGGTATATAGAGTCTCCTGCTTGAACAGGGGGCTGGACTAGAAGACCTCCAAGGTCCCTTCCAGCTCTATTCTGATTGTTTATAGTTTCACAACTATTATTCCAGTAGGCTCAGTCCCCATTTCAGATGAGCTTACTTTATTATTACTTTATTTAAACGTACTATTTTTTGTGATGCTGATCCATGCTTCTCTTTGCTACGTGTTTTCTAATAAATACTGTAAGTACTTTGGGTGCCAGTATGTGTATTGGGAATTATGTGGTATGACCCCCTTCAGGTAAACTACACTTTTGTAAATTAAAAGCTGCTGCTTTTAAACTGTCTTTGTGTTTTCTTTTATTATTAGAAAGAGGAAGACATTTTCTTTCTTTCAACCTTACTCACAACTCCCTGGGGGAGGGGGGTTACAAAACTACCAGTGAAAGCAGCCCCAGCTCCTTTCTTTCCAAGCTATCTTATTTGGGTGGGGCAGGTCTGGTGGTGGGATGAATGAGACACCTCCTGATATTACTGAAGTCATAATCCAGTAGGTAATCTATATCACTTTATAAACTACGGTACTTATTTCCAGCTCCCAGCATCTTTCACTTGAGAGTCCCACTCAACTCAAAGACAACCACTTACCTATATGGTGGTAGCTTGATTTTATTCTATACCAATCTAATATGTCAATAGATGAGTGAATGGGAGTCATATTAAAATATAGTTCACAAGGGATATAGAAGGGAGTGTGGAATGAGAAAAGAAAAGCAAGCAGGTAAGGCACAATTATCCTCAGAGCAATTTGCAGTGTTTAAGAGAGTGGGCATGGGCCAAGGGGTCTTGGTTCAACCCCCTACTCTTCTATAGAGATAATTGGTCAACTCTCTCAGTCTAATTTACCTGAAAGAGTTCATCTGGTATAACTATAATTTATATACTGCATACAGTTTGGGTATCTGAGAGACCAGAGGTCTCCAATAGTTTCTGCCTACCCAGTAGGTACTGGCACAGTGGGTGTGCGCCAGATTCCCTCTATCAAACCTTGTCATTGTGTGGGACCAAGGACAATGCCCTCTCCTAGGCTTCTAGAAAGCTTTGAAAATCTGGCTTTGGTCCCAGACCTGAGGCTGATGTTTATGATTTGCCTAAGGCCCCTGTTTTGCTTTGCTGTTTATTAGATTATTTTTATCTGGGCTGCCCATCTTGACACAGTGGGCATCTCAAAAACCTGGCATTTTAACAGGAGTGTGTAGACTTTTGATATCCATTATATAAAGTTTTTTGCTGCGTTTATGTTTTTCCACCCCTACTTTCATATACCACCCAAAGTCCATTGGAGTTGGGTGGCCAATACATTTAAATAAGTAACAACCAGTGGACAGCCTCAGCCCTACTTCCTGCAAACTCCCAGAGGAAAAGTGGGATAAAAATAATAAAGGTGGTATATAAATAAATACTAAAATTGAAAATGTTACACAGATTCTAGCAACCTAGAGTCTATTAATTTGGTGGGGTAGAAAAGATGAAATAAATAAATACAAACAAAGGGAGTAGATGGGGCAAGCAGTAAGAGAGATCAGAACTCATACCTTTTCAAAGATGACTGTTCAGGTCTTGCCCCTGCCCAATAAGAGCCCATGTTTTTTACTGTATGGAAAGGACACTTACATGCCTGGCCTTTACCAGACCTTGCCGTTGCTGGCACTGCATCCAGTTGCCACTTAGCTGTTGCTGTGAAGTCTGTAGGTGCAGCCTGAACTGGGATGGGGCCACCGGAATCAGAGGCTGGGGAGGCACAGGCAGAAGGTGGTGCTGGTGGTGGGACTGGTGCGTCTGATGGTGAGGCTGGGGTGGTTGGGGGTGCTGCTGGGGCGTCTGTGGATGTTGTGGTGGTGGCTGTGGATGCTGTGGCTGCATAGGAGGGTGCAAATGACCCTGTACATTTGAAAACATGGCAGTTGTGAGGTCAGGCTTATTCTCTTGACTGCAAGACAGAATCAGCACTTAACAAGGAAACAAAAAGCGTCTAACAGAAAGTAAGGTATTTCAGAAATTGGGAGCTGAAGACAAAAAAATGCTTTGGCACTTATGGCAGCTGACTGCAACTCTTTAAACAAAAAATACATTTTCCTAGGATTAGAGACAGCAGCAGAATCTTGGTAATCCAGTACAAAGATATTACAGGTAATAGTTGACTTATAACCATTTGTTTAGCAACCATTTGAAGTTACATCACTGAAAAAGTGCCTTATGACTGGTTCTCAAACTTCTGACCATAGCAGCATCCCCACAATCATATGATCAAAATTCAGGTGCTTGACAAATGGCAAGTATTTAAGACAGTTACAGAATCCTGGGGTTATGTGACCATTTGTGTCCTTCCCAGCCAACTTCCAACAAGCAAAGTCAATGGGGAAGCTGGATTTGCTTAACAACTGTGTGATTCATGTAATATCTGCAGTAATTTGCTTAACAACTGTGGGAAAAATGGTTGTAAAATCAGGCATGATTCACTTAACAACTACCTTGCATAGCAATGGAAATTTTGGGCCAGTTGTGGTTGTTAAGTCAAGGACTACCTGTACTGTCTACTTTAAAGTTTGAACCTCTTTGCTCTGACCAACTTTCAATCTTCAGATCTAAACAGCTGCACAGCCCATTTCCCACCAAGTTCTAACCTGATAAATTCAATTACACTAAGGGCTTTCCTGCATGAAGGTATTATACTGGCGCTCCTCCTTTTGGGGGTGAAGGTGAAGTTCACAACTGGAATTTGAATGGTTTTGATAATAAAATACAGAATCTTCCTAAAATATGCTTCAAATAAGTTACTAAAAGCTGGTGTTTGTTATTCAAGCTTTCATAGAAGAAAGCAAAGCACCAAGAGAGGGAGCTCTAAGCTCTGTAGTGTTCCAGACCTGTTTTTAGATGCATGATTAAGTGACTCAGTACAGAAACTTGTTTTCATGAAATAGACTTCAGTATCTCTCCTGGAGTAAATCAATTTAGGAAACCAAGGAATATGTAACAATGCCATGTTACAAACTTTTCTAATCCCATCAGGTCTGTGAACAGCTTCACAAAAATCAACACTTTTTAATGTCTTCACTTTGAAACAGCTAGCCCTTATAGTTCAATTAGTGGTGGCCACTAATGAGACTAATATTGTTATGCTTGGCACAATAATAAAAAGACATGTTTAAATTGCTTCAAATGCTAAGCATTCAAGCTCTGTTTACAAAGGAGCTTCTCTCAGCATTCTGCTTATGCAATGTATGTTCTGAGCTAAGACTAAACCCGTAAGAGTTTCCAACACACAAATGCCACACTCCCAATAGGTTGGGACTACAACTCCCAGAATCACTCTAACAGCATAACTATGTTAGGCCAGTCAATATCCACAATTCACTTTACTCTTAGTCTGAAATAGCAAAGAAATTACTGTTTTACATATAAAATGGTTTGATAGTAGAGCCAAAAAGGCACAGTAGAAACTAGTTATATTCTCCCAAGTACCAGACAAGAGAGTTGCCATCTTTTTTTAAAAGTAACTGGATAGCAGATCTGTATTACTATCTAAAATCATGCTCCTGCAAAAAGGGAAAAATAAGGAGGAACAACTATATTGGAGGACCTACACAGACTTTGAAAGTTCAGGTTACAATGGTCATAGGAGCACACGAAAGAGAGGAGGCCTGTCCTGATCATTACATACCTGCATGCCGGCTTGGGTGAGAGGGGTTAAGAACGGCTGCCCTGGTATCTGCAGGAAGGACTGCCTTGGGGGAAGAAAAGGCCGTGCATTGGCTGCTCCAGGCTGGCTGAAGTGAAGGATTCCCATAGGGCCTTGGGGCTGCAGATTTGGCCTTACCAGCCTTTCTCTTGGAAACATTGGTTGCTGGCCCTGCTGGTTGAAACCTGGTCCAGGCTGGCTGAATGGGAGTGAGTTTTGGCTGGGCACAGGATGCACACTGTTAAGAAGGGGTGGTGGTGGTGGAGGGGGGCTCCGCTGCTCAAACAAATGATGGCTGGGAAATCTCAGCTCTGTTGGAAAAATCAAAATGAGACAGCATGAAACCAACCCATCTGCGAAGCAAAATAGTAGTTTTGACCCAAAACAACTGGAAATAAAAGTCTCATGGAGAATTGCCAGGATCATGCCCAACAATTTCTTCAATTAGCCCAATACTGTCTACTCCAACTAGAAGTTACCAGTTCTGTAGATAAATGTAGTAGGAGTGATAGAACCTGGAAGCAGAGTTAAAACAGGGACCAGCCTAGAATCCCTACATAGCCACAAGTGAACTAAGATTATAACCTCCCTTGAATTCCACTGACCCTTATGTAACTCCAAGCAGGTGTTAAACTTGAGAAGATTCCTGTGCATAGGCATGATTAACAATAAATCAGTTTAATTGGACTTGCACATGTGGACCTGGTCTTCTGTGCCTGACAATAATCATTCTGTGGTTAGTGTATCACTTCCTGAAACTTTTCTGTGGTAAGGATGCATTAAACAAGGTAAACAGTGTATAGGAAAGAAGTCATGTTGCTTCAAGAGTATGTATGTAATTGGTAAGTGCTGGACTTCAAGCAAAAGAAGATGGGACAATTTTGGGATTGGCCAAGTGATAAGATGATTCTGGCTTCATAGTTCATGCTTAATCCCCTCCCTGAGAACCAAGGAAAAGGTCTCTTCCCACTGGTAAGACAATGGCCATACCTCCCATGAAGAAAGGTTCTCTTTCTTGTGGAGGTGGGGGCGGAAGAGGGGGTGGTGGCCCTCGCCACTGGTCTTGGAGGGAAAGTCGTGGGGCCTGGTTGAAATTGGTAAGAACAGGTTCAGGAGGGTTTTGTTGAAAATCTGGAGAGCCCTGCAAGATAAAAAAAAGGGGGGGGGGATGAGGGAGAAATGAGGCACAATTCTTCCTGTAGCATTTCGTCATTAGTCCGTTTACTTTGGGAAGAAAATGTCTAATAGATTAAAGTATCTATGTATAATCTGCACAAATGGCCACCATTTTTTGTTGTGACTGTGAACCCAGATTCTAAGGACATGTTTACAGGGAACTCAAAATGTTTTAATAATCACAGCAGCCCTGCAAGAATGCCATTTCTTTTCAAGCTTACTGAAATCCATACAATTATTGAAATTCTATCCCATTGATCCCAAAGTATGAATGTCTACTTTATGCTCCCGACACTTTTAAAACCATGATATTTATTTGCTATTTAATACCGCCTAAGCAACTAAAAATGAAGCTACTTTAATTTTCTGATGTCTAACAATGATCCCTTGCCCCCTTCATACACATATGCACGAACATATATCTGCTTATTTCAATAGTAAGGAAGACAACATTTGATGCCTACATTATCCTAAGTAAGCAGCTGAGATATTCATTATTAAAAAGTATGAAAAATTAACATAGACATCCTACTCTTCATTTTAAATAAATGGGGTACAGACAGATATTTAGCTATTTCATCAACAGTAAGGGGAGAAACTGTTTAAAATTTAAGCTCCATAATTGATTTTCTCCCCTGTAACAACAAAATGACAGAATGTACTTCTGTCCATTAAAAAGACAAGGGCTTTTTAAGACCCAAATGTTGATTAGCTAAGCTAACAGGAAGTGACAATAATTTATTAGCATTCTTACACCCAAAATAAAAACTATTAAGATAGCAACATTTCCCAGTTTCTATTCCCACTGATACTTCTTTTTTTTGTTTAAATTTTTTATTTCCATTTTCATTTTCATAACACACACTCACATGTATACTATACATAGCCCATATCATATAGTATTAAATAATAATTACATCAGTTCCTCTTGTCAACAATGCCCCACCCCCAAAATAGAAACCCATTATAGCTCTTCTGCTCTCCATACACCTCTTTCTTCTACCACCCTCCAACTTTCTATCTTCCCTCCATCNAGGTACCACCTATACTGTACCTGTGCATTTCGTTTTTCTTGCCTAAATGTAGAACTTTACATTTTTCACCACTGAATTTCATTTTGTTAAATAGCACCCAATGTTCAAGTTTGTGAAGATCCTTCTGTATCTTAAGCCTATATTCTGGAATATTGGCTATTCCTGCCAGCTTAGTGTCATCTGCAAACTTGATGAGTTCCCCATTTATCCCCTTGTCCCAACTGGACTTTCTGGGGGGTTTTTTTGGAAGAAATTTCGCTTATCATCCAAGAAGCTTCTACAGCTCTGGATGAGAAGCGAAACGTCTTCAAAGAAAAACCAGAAAGTCCAGTTTCCTCTTGGAAAAAGCACCTTTGGAACAACCATGACCTGGATGATTGAGAAACTCCATAGACTCTGAGCTTGATTGTTTTCTTGCAGATGTTTCATTACCCAAACTAAACGCCTGCAAGGAAAAAAAAGTTCAGAAAGCACCAAGAACCCCTCATTTCAGCTCTGAGCATACACTATCGATAGATTACACTACACAAGGAGCCTTCCCCAATCCTCTTTGTGACATTTGGGCAGCAGAACAAAGCTGGATCCAAATTTTACAATGTCTTTGTTGCCTTTCCATCCCTCAGTGATTGTCAGAGCTTGGTATAACTATAAATCTTTCATATCAGTCACGATATTTTCTGAACTTTTTTTTTGAAAGGAATTTTTTACATCTGTGTGATTGATTTTATAGATTGTTAAGGATTTTAAAAATAATTAGCATTTTTATAAGGAATTGTAGCAGATGATCAGGTATTTATACTTTAATCCATTCTATTTCTGGTTACAACTTTTTTTTTTTGCAAAAGGTCCCTGGCTGTGTGTCTACCATGTTTTCAAAGTCTTTGTAAAGAAGAAGCAAACTGTAACCTGTCAGTCCTTTTGCTTCATGGCACGACAAAACCGCGCTACGCAAAATAGCGGAGATTAAATCGCGTCGCTAAAGTCGCAACGTCATCACCGCGCGTCATCACCGTGGGGACAACAGCGCGGCGACAGAAGGCCGTTCTACATACTTCGTTCTTTCCCTCCAAAGGTAGCCCTCCTCCTCCAGCTGACAGCGGCACGGGGCAAAGCGGGCTGCCCAGCAGCAGCAGCCTGCGGGAAGGGTCCAGCACAGCCACAGGGGGCAGCAGGAAGCCACGCTGGCGGCGGAGGAGGACGCAGCAGCGGCGGCGGCTGAGGCTCTCCCGGGGCCAGCAAAGCGGGCTTGCCCGGCAGAGGCAGGCCGCCCTCTTCTTCCTCAACAACATCTCCTTGGATGGGCGGCTGCCTCCGCCGGGCAAGCCCGCTTCACCGGCCCGGGAGAGCCTCAGCCGCCGCCGCTGCCGCGTCCTCCTCCGCTTCCTGCTGCCCTTCTGTCACCGCGCTGTTGTCGCGGCGGTAGGGTCGTTTTTTTCTTAGCGCTTTGGACGCCGCAGATTTGCCTCCGCACTTATGTCGGCGCGGATAAGGGCATCGCGGTTTTGTGGTGGAACCCTTTTGCTTAGTTACATCAATGATAGAATGATGGCAAATTAGCTTTAATATAAGGAAGCTTTATTTCTGATAATCATCTCTCTATGTGTTTCCTCCAGATATCCAATATTGGGGGCAAACAGCATTTTTGTGCTGCTTTTTGAAAGACAGCTGGCTATATAGACACACCTGAGTTTGTTTGTCAAATTTGTATGGTTACTCCTCTCACACAAAGTGATTCTGGATGACATACAATAAAACCAGTAATTAAAACATTCTGCAAAACCAATTGAAAAAAATAAACATAGATAAAACAAAACAAAACAAAATTATTCCATAACTTTTTTAAAAAGATAACCTTAACACTTGTATTCTAAGCATTGTAAGTGCTGATGAGTGAATTGCAAATTCTAAACATCCTCAGAAAATTAAAATTCTTATGCCAAATTAAGTGTCTTTCAGCTAAGAAAACAGAATGTGTTTATGCTAATGGAAATTTAATATTTATTTCAGTAACTTCATAAACAACAGGAGCTTGTGCTTCTGAAAATTATGATGGAGCTGCGAAAAGCAACTACAACCACTATTCCTTTGGCATCCCACCCACAAATGGCCAAAAGTGATACAAAGTCCCCACAAATACAGGTATTGCACAACATCAACAACTTCTATGGATTTTACGTGATGAAATGCTAACATGTAATAAGCTTGCCAATATGTATTCTAGCATTGCCAACTTGTATTTTTTTTAAAATGTGAGGGTGCTGATTCTTAGAAACATATTGCATGGGATTTGTGCTTTTAATACTAATTATCATAAACCCGGTAAGTAAAATCCTGTCTGGATTTCTTTTTATGTTTTCTGCCTTTAAATAAGTTGCATACAACCTCTTGCATTTTTCCATGTATGAATTGAGATATAAGGCCTATTTAGATTGTTGGAGATTCCTCAGAGGATTATGAGAGGAATTGTGGAAACCTATGGCCCACACCTGTCTTCTTTCCTTCCTTTTGCAGAGCAACTATTATTACTCCCCTAAAGTTAGTATGGTATATTTTGGGCTGTATAACTGCTCTCTGTGGAGAAGCTAACAGATAATGACGTTAGTATAAGGTGGATTAATTTTTAATTATCTAGTTTACCTTTTAGTCAACTGGCTTGCGAAATAATTTAAGAGCCTTGTAAGATGCTTATTCTATGCTTGTGCAGAGAAACCTGAGTAGGTATACTAGCATATATAATGATCTCCACTACCACCTTTAATCCTCACCACAACTCTGGGAAGCCAATTGAACTGCTAGGGAGTGATGGGTTCAGTTGTCCAATGGTGGATTGTAGGTGTTTTTGGTTAAACAGAGATTTGCATTTAGGTGATTTTAATCCAATACTCGCCTTGTAACCACACTGCCTATTTTAAATGTTTGGAACAGCTGCAGTTCAGCCGGAATGCTCCCGCGTTGCCTGAAAACCTGTCAATCCACTACACCAATCCCTGTCCAATTGTCATAGAAAAGTTGAAACACTCAGCAACTCAACAGAATCAAGGTGCTGGTGATGATCTGAGGGGCTCTGTTGAATTCTCCATTGTATCTGAAGAGAAGCTCAACCTGGCTGTTCAGATGGCCAGAAGGGATGTGAAAAGAAAGCACCTGCAAGAGCAAATGAAGCAGCATCTCACCAAGATGAATAAGTGTCCTGTGGGATTTAGTTGGGGAAAGGACTTAGGGAACGCTGCGGTGTTGAAAGCATCTAAGTCCCACCTGAAATATGAACACCAGCTTAATAACCCTTCTAAGATGGAGAGGAACAGCACTGGGGCAAAAGTCCTCCTTTATGATCCAAGTCATGTGAACTCAGAACCCGCTTTGTCTGATTCTCCACCAACACGTGACCCAGGACCTGGGCCCAAAAAGGAAGAAGACAAATGTGCCATAGAAATCAGAAGGCTACAAAAAGAGCTTCAGACTTACATTCAGAAAATTGAATTGCTAGCAACAAAAGGTAAGGGGGAAAGCTGACTTAAATGAAAATGCAATATACGACAGTAGAAGAGATACAGGTCACTCTCTTGGCCTAACAAGCTAGGTACCCACCTAGCCTCAGAGCCTAAGTCTCTGATTGGTAATGCAGAAGAATCTTCATGGACTTTGTTTCCCACTGAAGGGAGGCTTTGAATTCAAGGCAACTTTGAATTTCTTGTAGAAAGTCCTGAGAAGTGGGTAAAAGATTAATCTTACAGGGAAAGAAAATGGTGACAAGCAAATTGACAGCAAAGAACAATGAGTCTTTGTAATTGTTCCTGAGTTCCAGGACTTTGTTGTAAAGGTTCTTAAGTCTAAATGAGGCTTATAAAGAAGATTTGAGTAAGCACGAGGCTCTGTGCCTACTATCCCACCCATTTATCCTGCTAATCATCTCCCAGTTTAATATAAAGAAATGTTCGTAATAGTAGTACTTGACCAGAGACTATTTTTGTCTTTTTATTTTGAAATATTTTATTTTCTTTTCATATCACACACACACATGTATACTATACATAGCCCATATCATATAGTATTAAATAATAATTACATCAGTTCCTCTTGTCTTGCCCCCCA